AGTAACAAATACCACGTACTAGTACTTTGTCGACTGTTTTTGGCTTTTAAAGTCGCTGTAAGGCGGGAGGGCATGGAGGCCACTAAGTTGTCTATGGTGGTTTGGCCCACATAATTGTTCAGCACAAAATCCAACTTCTGCCGCATCGAAAGACGTTTTCTTGCCTTGTCCCAATTCCTTTTGATTAATACAAAAAGATTTTCGATTGGATTCAAGTCCGGACTATTGGCGGGAATGAAAATTCAACCACTGGCTGCCTGTTGGCAGTTTATAGGCATTACGCGGTTATTCCGCTGTGGTTAATGGACTTCGGTCCAAATGCATCAAATTCCAGTCAGAACCTATAAGTCGCAAATAGACTGATTCACTCCAAGTTAGCGGTTAATTTCTGAAAAAATTAAAAACCTGCGAACGTCACACTACCACAGCGCGACGGTGATGAAGTGAATAGGCCGTCGGAAGTTCGCAGTCATCATGTGACCAGACATGATAAAGACGCTCCAAATATAGCATCTCGCAGTTGTTAACGTTACCAACCGGTGCGAACAACACTCGGTACGGACTTCGGCACTTTTAGACAACGGCTCCGACACAGCGTTCACACATGACAGTCTCATGTCTGCTTTTTAAATAAAGGACAAGAGTAAGGACATCGTCATATCAACGCTGAATAAAGAAACTGTGTTTCAAATAATGTGAGTCCGACGAAGAAATTAGAGGCGCGAAAACTTCTGTTCACGTCAAACTGGCCCACTCTCTCAAATCTCCACGAGGAGCACGCCAAGTTATTTCAATGGTTGCACGCTTGGTACTTGTAATTTTCGAAACGCAGTGCAGGTTCTGGCACTGTAGTGTTATCTCACATAAGAGTCAATGTAGACTTAATGTCTGTACAGGTTAGCCGTACACTGTGCCCACAGCATCAGGGCCTCAAAACAACTGTTTACTGGGCGATCGAGAGAGGACGCGTTGTTGTGCTTCGGGCGAAACAAAAACCACTGTTTTGTTGATGTCAATCTTTTCAAATTTATAAGGTTGTATATACCTCAGTTCTCTTTAAACAGCGCAGGACACGAGCTCAGAGCCTCCAGATTACCAAATGGACGGCTGGTTATCTCTTTGAGTAAATTTTCAAAACCTAACAGACGTTTTTGAGACACAGTCATGGAGTATTGACGGCAGAAATGCGCTTAAGTTTAAAAATTGTCACCAGACTCGGCGAGACATGAATGGACATCTTTGGACTATCGGCGGCGTACAGCATTCCCCCAGACGGCATATCCATAAATGTGCTTGACGTACGGGCCCTCTGAATTTCCCCCTACTGTGGAAAATCATGAAATACTTGATTGGCTTGTTGTACGGGTGAAGGCCATAAAAGTGGTTTAAGGTCAGTTTGGAGACTGCGTCAGAAATCATCAAAAATAGGACAATGTGGCCTTCGGAACAGGACTCGCTCAGTCCAGCCTCGTTCACTTTCACGGCTTTTTGTGAGCATCCGTCAGTACTGTACGGCACATACTGGTTTCTCCGTGGACAAAATACCGGGGAGATTTAATATTTGCCCGAGGCGTACGCACTAGACCGACTTGGAGCAGATCTGTGCGGATTGGACTAAGATCGAATTCACTTCGCATATGTTATGCTCTTCAGGCCTAGTGACTTACTCTATGGCGATCGAACGACCGTGCTTACTTTGGTCCATCAGCAGGTACAGTTGGGAGACGCAACGCCACCTAGGAGCCGGTAGGTGACAGCTCTATTGGTGCGCTTCACGGAAGTGGCACAGGACGACGGTTTTCGCGTGAATTTATGGTGACGCAGACGTGCGCAGAACGCACCGCACTCTCTCCTCCCTCACCCACCTCACTCAGATGATAAGACAGTGTAAAGACGACCGGAGATGATCGCGGGCGCAGTGGCTGGCAAAGCTGAACAGTCCGTCTACGCGGGCCGCTCACGACCTGGTCCTAACCACGCGCGCTATGCTACTATGCCGGAGTACGAAAAGGCGGCACTAGGGCGGAGTCACTGCAGCCTGGTTCCCAGCCATCCGGCCACTCCAAGATACTCCCACAGGGGCTCAGTTATCCCGTCAATTGACAGCCCTTCAAGCCACGACCCTTGGCGTGCCGTGATAGATTCGGGCGCCTCAGACCTATCCTAGAGAGGAATGTGTGACGGCCAGCCATCATGACCGGTCTGGCGTCATTGTCCAAGGCCTCGCTGCCTCAAGGTCATCCACCCTTTTGCAGTGAGCCGTCCCAGACGCGCTGACCTGAAGTCAGACGACCGACAGCTCGGGCATACCTGCGCCCGCACAGCCGCAGCTGCGCATGCGGCCACTTGAGCACACCTCTCCCTCCCACCGCGCAACTACAACCCAGGGCACTGGGACACCACTCCTCGGCAAATGCAACACACACAGATTGGACACCACTTGGGCTTGGCCCACGAGCCTACAAAAGCGGCTGCCACCACTGTCCCAAGGACTCCCAGGCCTGACTAGACGCAGTCAACACCAGCCCTGGCTTCGCCAGTGGCTACTGCCGCCTGAGGGGACAACTCCGGGTTCTGTGCACAATAAACGCCTCATTCTGGCGCCTGCTGTCTTCTCCCCACAACACTAGGATTTGCGCTGATAACGGTGGCGCTCAGAGAACTTGCTCTGGCCACCTAGTCACAACAAATGCAATGATTTGTCCTTGAGATGATAACGAGCCGATAGATAACCTTAACTGTAAAGGTTTTCCTGTAATAAAGATTGTAGTTAAAGGAATGCCAGCAGGCAGTGAGTTGCCACCACCGATTGGGAACACATGTACAACAGAGAGTGCACACGTCTGGTTATGCTGCCATTGCTGAAGGAAATCTGAAAGAGGTGACACCATTGGTTTAGCCTTACTTCTCCTCCGTAACACACTTTTTAAAAAAGGAGTGGGCGCGGAGGCGCTTTCGGTACCCAGTAAGAGTCTTAACCCACACGACCGAGCGGCAACACTAGTTCGCCGACAACCGTCCATATACAGCCCGTGGGGGCTAGAATCGAATTGAACCTGCCTGCTTGCATAAGGCCTTAACGAAAGCTAAAGCGTGCATTTAGTTCTCAGCAAGTACTGTGCTGTAATAATGGAATTCTGCAAATTCGTCTTCTCCAGCGTGCTGCATTCTCCCAGTCCGGATAACAATTCCGCGCATCCTATTCCATTTTTCAAGGTCTTTAGCCGATAAAGCCCTCCCCCCGATCCACAGTGAAATTTTCCAACTTCAATGATACGCATTCAAATATAAAGTAGTTCGGGTGCCCCGTAATCACCTTGACAGTAAAACTATGCGCCTCCAGTGAGGAGAGTGGAAAACGACTGGCACCCATCGATCCTCTTCGACGTTCTTCCCCCATCTCATTGCAGCTCACTTGCTTGACCCAAGCCAGCAAAATTACTGTCTGTTCACTGCAGGCAACTAGCTTCGCCACTAGTCACGGCAATGATTTTCGTGTGGAGGATGGGAGCTGGGCGAAACACAACTGCAGTCAGTAGTGGGTGAAGACTTCGCTGCAACTGTCCCCTCAGTGGCTGCCCGCGCCTCCCAAGGTTCCAGCAATTCAAGGCAGAGGCAGAAGACCAGTAAAATGAGAGTCTGAATCTTCCCTAAAAGCGGCATGTCCGGATCAGACCTAACATACTGATTTTGCCTTTTAGCCTACATTTTATATCTGTCGTCAGTTATCAAAAGTACTGTTGCTGCTGCTGGCAGGCGGACTGGGAGAGGGGAAGCGTAAAACTGAGCGTCTCCGCAGGTAGTCAGTCGCCAGCCGACATCAAGAAGGTCCAGATCGCGCCCATAGGCAGCCTACTGTGTACTGGCGCCTTGGATGTCTAAGAGCCTGTCGAACAGTTCTAATTTCAATTCCACCACTGAATCTGTGACGCACAAGTCCGTAACACAAAAGTCTGTAACACAAGTCCTGCCGTAATGAAAAACGGAACAGAGTGCAGACTTGGCAGATGCAGTAGGTGGATCATCTTTCTGGGTGTTAGAGTGAATAAACATAGCATGTCGGTGCATAACTGGTGGACAGAATACAGGGGAGAGGCTTTCACCGCATCAAACTCACCGCCCACTTCGCGATCCGTATATTCCAATGTACCAACGAAGGGGATCGACGGTGAATGCAGTATCTGCCAAGGCATAATGTCCCGTCTAAGCACACCACAAACGTACTGGGCCCTCGACCATCACGAATCAGATTTAGTTCTCCTACAGCACACTAGGGAGTGGTCGGCCCCAGCCCGATTGTTCCATCTGTTGGCAATTTTGCAGCTTACGAGGGGAAAGCTGCACTATAAAGGTAGGCCTCACTCCTCCCCCGCCCATCAGGAACCAGTTCAAATGATGCCGACTAGAGGCGTGGTCGGGCGTTCTAGTTGAAATGGTATCAATGTGCCGTATCCCGCCTGTTACATGCATAAGTGATACCCGCTTAAATATAGCAGACCGTTTTGGGGCCCATACGATAAAAGTCAACAAAATGGCCCATCAAAAACCTGGACTTGCATAAATAGGCATTACTCCTATCCTACTACTTAAACTATCTGGGTTTTTCCGATGAACAACCGAGGTCGGCGATAGGCTCAAGGCAGGCAAATATCAACATACCTTCTAGGCCATCAGGCCGCTAACCACACTCAAAGTAGAAACACATGAAACTTAAGCTCCCTACCGTTTGAATTAATACCTTTGCCAGTCTAATATAGAACGTCTGGTCAATCACTGAAGGATCCTTGAGAAAGCAACTGGGGGAAATGCGTGTCACCCACGAGATGACATGAGGCCTTCACAATACAAATTAAAGGCTACTTAATAAATGTAAGTAGAAAATATATTGCTCTTTTCACAGTCATCAGGTGTTGGCGAAATGCTGATAAATATGAAGTCCACCGATCACAGATCGATTGCAGATGACGCACAGAATATTCGCTCTCATGGCGCAAGTTGCATCAAAGGTAACTGAGTCTACGAATAAGCAAACTAGCCTGCTCCAATTCAACAGAAGTAATGGGTGATGACAATTGAATTCCAAGGAGGCGACGGTTGCAGAAGGCTAAGTCAATGAGGTCGTACAGGCCTGAAGTGAAAAGGTAGGCCAAAAGGTTGCCTGCAGTGAAACGCTGGCTTGCAGTCTCCGATGAGAAGAACCAGTGTAAAAAAGCAAGCAGCACATTGCGGGTGGCGAAGAAACTTGCTGACTGGCGGAGCTTGGTGAATTCCACGTAGGCCTCGATTGAAATGCTACCAACAAAATCGTCTATACGAAGCATTCTTAGACGGCGTCCCTGATGAATTCGTGGTGGTGTAGCATTCTGCTCAAGACTGCGCCAGTCAAACAGAGTCTCAGGGGGTGGTGCTGCACAATGTTGTTTGCAGAGTTCAAGAAATTTCGCCACTTTAGGAGAGTGCATCCTGACGGCAGCCCCATTAGTGGCACAAGCAGCAGATATATCGTCCACAAAATTGGGCTGAAAGTCATCAAAGTCCTCGTTATTCATAGAGGCCTCCTTACTACCGGTGCCAGTGGAAGTCCCCGAAACCATGAGGTACATGAAAATGCGCGCCAAAATAACGGCCCGATCAGCGAAGGCCTCGACAAGCGTGTCGAGGTTGAGCGGCGTCACAGAGGATATTCGTACAGACCACTGGTCACGTAGGCTAACTGCATACTTGAAGAGTGCATTAACGACGTCCTCGGAGGTAGCACCGGATTCCCCACATGCTTGAATGATCCGATAAAGTGTGCAGCGTAAAACTGCTTCAGGGGTTGTCATTATTTGTGCGATGAAACCAAGTCTCCTAAATAAGTGAAAACCAAAATTAAAAAGGTAGTGCAAGCGGCTCAGTGCACTGCCCCGAGAGTTGAATAAAAACATATTGAGCAAGGATAGGACAAGTGATAAGGGCTAAATCCCATGGGATGAGGTGATTCTGTAGTCACACAGACGGCGCCTACAGCAGTAAAAGTGGTATTAGCTGCGACGGTGGCAGCAGCAGTAGTGGCAGCAATGGTGGTGATAATAGCAATAGTAGAAGTAGAAGTAGTAGTAGTAGTAGTAGTAGTAGTAGTAGTAGTAGTAGCAGTAGTAGTAGTAGTAGTAGTAGTAGTAGTAGTAGTAGCAGTAGTAGTAGTAGTAGTAGTAGTAGTAGTAGTAGTAGTAGTAGTAGTAGTAGTAGTAGTAGTAGTAGTAGTAGTAGTAGTAGTAGTAGTAGTAGTAGTAGTAGTAGTAGTAGTAGTAGTAGTAGTAGTAGTAGTAGTAGTAGTAGTAGTAGTAGTGGCAGCAGTAGTTTAATCCAGATTAGGTTATTTCAGTTATTACTGTAGTCCTGTGTTGAACAACCTTCCCTAAAGTGGACGCTTTTCTACTAAAGGTTCGACGTTGGAAACGAAAAAACGCAACGAAATTGAGCAAATCCTAGACTATTCCAGGCACTTAAGCAGGCACTTAAAGCTAACAAGGCGAACTTTCAACTTAAGGAGCGCTAGGTGTGATTGGGGATAATGCCATCAGTAGTCGTAGGCAAAAAATTAGGTCACTGGTCAAAAATGCCAAATGGTCCAAAAGGTCTGGGCCCAAGTAAAACCAGCAATTCATTCAGCGGAAGCATAGAAACTGACCAGAATGGAATAGCTTGGAGACCAAAACTATAAGGAGGCTCGAGGGCCAGCGTAGAAAAGAAAAGATCAGTGTTTATCCTGGAGACTAACCTAGTCTATTTTTCAGCTCTATAAATGCGCCTAAGAAACCTTACTGGTTGGCATTTGACAGTAAATCCTCAACTTCGCGCAGATGTATGATTCATTCATTTGACCGGAATCGACACCGGTGCAGCATTGAGAAGAGAGAATAATAATAATCATAATAATAATAATAATAATAATAATAATAAGAAGAAGAAGAAGAAGAAGAAGAAGAAGAAGAAGAAGGAAAAATAAGAAGTAAAAATGAAGAAAAAGACGGAGATGGGGAGAAAAATGAAATGGGGAGGAAGAAAAAGAAAGGACGAAAGAGAAGAATGAAGCAGAGAGAACGAAAAGAAAAGAAGGGAGAAACGAGAAGCAGAAGAGAGGGAGGCGATCCCTACGACCAGTAGTTTATTGCTCCAACGTTTAAAACTCTCACGCAAGGCCATCGTCAGGGAATGACGGAAGGTACAACTCACATCATATTTTGCTCAAGTTTGCGGGGAACGACCTTTAACCGTGCTATTGATTTGTTCATGCAACGGTTGCCGATCGATACGTCCATTGACCGAATCCCTGGTATAGTGTCACGCTTCCTGTGGTAGGCGCGACACCCACCTAAGATGCCCACGCACGCGAATCCCAAATTGTGCCCTGGTGTAGACGACTGGATAGTTACCAAGGACAGTATATCGTTCCATCTCAGCGAGCTCGTGTTCGTGCACTCTCCAGAGGACCTGTTTGTCGATTTGCCGACGTAGTTGGCTTGACCACAGTTGCATTCAATCTGGTAAATCACGTCGGGTTTTTGACTCATGGGTAACATCGGAGCAGCAAACAACTGGTTACAGAGATCGCCTTCTCTTCTTCTATTTACTTTCCAGAGTCTCGTGTGTTTTCTACAGTTCGAAGTGTGTAAATATATTCAAAAAGAACTCCATATTTTGGGTTATTTTACATCGACAGTCAGTTATATGCTGACGTCGAGCCCGGACAAACTGAATGTTGAATGTAACGTAAATTATTTGGAACTCATCAAAGTTTGAATCTCCACAGTTGTTCTTTGCCTGATACTGAAATAAGTCAGTCCATATAGGAAAGACGCTCGCCATATGGATGGCACCAAAGATTTCACTCATCATTTCATCCTAATGGATAGAAAATTGCATGGAGCTTGCTTTGGCCTCATAAAAGCATCTTAAGAAATTTCAAGGAGGATATTTTCAAAAATCAACCGCAGACCAAAAATGCCTTCAACAAAAAGTCAAACTAAAAAAAACAGGAAAATTCGCAACTCCTCAGGCTGACAACGTGCGTAATCTTCACCTACTGACAGACAGCAAAGACTGGACATGCGTAGAGCGCGAGTTGGGTCGACGTGCGACTGAACCTGAAATATGCATATCAGTCCCCTTGCCTTTTTCGATAATACTTCGGGGCTGATCAGAAAATAATTCGGGTGCTGACCCCAGCGGAGGTTGTCGTCTTTCTCATTTCTACCCTTTTCATTCTTCGTCGTTAAAAGACGCTGTCGTCATAGAATGCAAGGCGAGAAGCAGTGATCTTCACCTTGTATTTTATGACGAGGTAAGATCATAAATAGTCTTGGTAACGAAGACAGTAACGATAAGAAAGTACCGACGGTGGAAACGAAAGTATGGTCCGAAATGAACTAAGACAATTTATGTGGATTTACAGTGCTTTTGGTCTTGAATGCATAGAGGAAACTCATGGATGGATGCCTTGATTGCAATTAAGTGTATATAGCTTGAAGAGTTTACACAGAAAGATTAATTCGGTTTGAATGATGAAGTTTGTAGCTGAGCTAAGTGCATTGGGCAGGCACTTGTAACAAGGCGAGCGCTCCAACTGTGCTAAGGTTGTCAGGAGCCGACAGCCATCTGCTTTGCTGAGTTTGTTGTGGAATTCAATGAGGATAATGACGTTAAACAATAAAGTGGCGTCACTATCCTACAGGCTCACTATTGCTTTACCACTGTCTCTAATTCATAACAACTTCGCAATCGTTCGGCAGGGGTGCGCACAATAAGTTATCATTTTACCTGCATCATCGATCAGATGTTCGAAAATGCAACATGTTTTAACAGTGTGGAATTTGTGCAAGCATGCCTATGGAACGACCTTGACTAATGTGGCGATACCACCCTGCTGACGTCACACTGTGATTACTTAGGAAATGTGGGTTTTGTGATGAACAATATGGGTAAATCAGTCGACTTATTCATCAGCGATGTGAAACTTAAAGTAGTGTCGATCCGGGTATCTAAAATGCAAAAGGCACCCTTCGTTGTGAGCTGTCCGTTTAATGATGCGGAACATTTCCAGTAGCTAAGACCTAAGCCTCTGTCCCAAGCTTTCTCAAAACATTTCTAAATACCCATGGATGTGGGGCAAAACTTCAGCCTAGCAGCGGGCACATGTTTAATCAGTGGCTCTTCAGCAACCACAATGGCTGGGTTGGAGGCAGAACACAAGCAAGAAAGTGGGGCTTACCGAGCGGCGAGTAACAAACAATGAAACCCTTCCTGGTAAACTAGTGATCATGAACTGCGGTTCGTTTCTAAAGAATCAGGTGATCTGGAGTTGCCTCTGAACTCAATGTATAACGCACTGTCTATAACGTTATGGACAGAAACGATAAGCTTGAGGGGGATTAGATGCAGAGAAAATGAGTCATTATCATCCGAGAAGACCACAAAACTGGCGCAGGATATGACTAACTGCATAATGCACACATGGTTTCTGAAAATTGCGTTAGGGGTCACGTTCCATGTGAGCTAAACAGTCCATGTATGTACGTGGAGTTTTGAACTGGATGCTGGTAGTGTACTAATAGCTTATGACCCCTAACAGTACTACGAAACTTTTGCATTTTGGAGAAATAACGTGAAATTTTACTAAGAAAAATAAAACGGCGAATGTCTTTTGGCAGAATATCTACAAAACGCCCGCAAGCAAGACATAGCCTCTCGAACTGACCCGCCAGTGATCAGCTTATTCTAACAATCAAAAGTAGAGATCAAAGACAGAATCGCGTTAACCAATAAGTCTATCAGGGATAAAGGTTCAAGAAATATGAATATCAAAGATATCGAATATTCTGGTGCCATTTCCATCATAATCTATGTCGAAAACAAAGAGTAGGCAAAAAGTTGATGAATAAATTTTGACCTTTCATTATGCCGAGAAACTCTCTAATAGTTAAGTCATGTAACAAACAGTAAAATCAAAAAATAGATGGGAAATAGAAACTATTAAGGCTTGGAAAAATGAATGGTGGTAGTAAGAAAAAACATTAAATAATGGATTCGTAAAGAGTGAAAAAGCTCACAAATCAGGGAGGCACTTTAGAAAATTAATTGCTTTTTGCTCATTCTAAAATGACTTCACAGTCATTAATGTATGCATAAGGGTCATGTGTTCTGTCGACGTGAAGGTTTGCAGTTCAGATTACAGGTGTACTTCGTGGATATCCGCTTGGTTATCAACAACTTCGAAGTCAGATTCAACCATTTTTCCTTTGGACGGGTCCAATCCAGATCGCCGCGCAGAAGACACGACGGAAAAGAATAGAATAGGTTTATTGTAGCACCTCTTGGGCATTGTCACTCTCCTTCGAACACAGGAAAATAACCTAAACCGAACTCATTACTTCCGGTCGCATTTTGACTTCATTTGTCCTGGGTGTCTGCTTAGTCAATAGAGCGCGAATTGGGAGTTTGTTTCAAACTAGAAAAAACTTCATTTGTGAGGCAAAGCAATAACAACAGTGAGAAAAAACAACGATATTTACATAATAGGAATTGAAGTTTGGATTTTGATAGTTTTTGGGGTCGTGAGTGGAACCTGAAGAAATTTGACATCGACCTGACGTTGAAATTGTCTTTCGGTTGATCAAATTTGGATGTCTACTAGTTGCCGGTTGTCAGTTTATTTTGGCATTTGCTTAGAGCTGGTCTTGTCGTTCGTCCGTGTCTCCCAGACGGCTCATCATAGTTGTCTGAACTTGTTACTTATGTAAGAAAAACCTAATGTATGCTGCTCGGCAGGGATTCTCCAAAACGTGAC